TGTTTTTTTATGGAAGTAAATGTATGCTGTTTAAAAACCTCGCGATTGCTGAACAAGATAACGACACTAACAACTGTTTCCTCCCAACGGTTTTACCGTCTCATCATGGGTGCGAGGCATTCCTGGGTGGCGGGCTGCGATGTACAACAGGGGATTCATTCCACCAGCAGCGTCTCCCAAACTGAGGAGTCCGGCACTTCTACCAGAAAGCCTTGCTAATAGTAAACCAATACCAGGATCCACTACTGTCCTAGCATCAAACCAGTCGTATGGTGGAAAATCTCCCTTTCATCCACATAGACGGCGATTGCCTGTGGTTGTGACGACCTGGGTCGGACTTTGGCTAGGCTAACTCTGGGATTCCAGGGAACCACAATGGCTAAACCAGCAAAACTCCGAAAAAATGGAAACTATGCTGGGGATCGCACAATCAGTGAAAACGGGCAATCCAAGTAGTATCTGCTTAGTAGTACTAAAAGACCTAATAAATAAGCTCATTTGTTCAACTGTTTTTCCTTATTATAGAGCAACTTTCGCTCATAATGCGGACGGTCCACACTACCAAAAGGCTAATTCGTGCCCGCAGTGAGCTTACAAAACCTCATCTTTCCGCAATCGGGAAATCGGTATTCAACTTGTTTGTGACGAGCTGACTTCCCTCTATTCACATGAGAAGAAGTTGTGTAAAATATGAGCTAAAGAGCAAGAAAGTGTAAGTCTTTTCAAATAAAGTCCGCACGCCTTCAATTTAAACTATACGAAAATGGTGAATGTAGATTTAATGTCCAGCCTCAAGTATGGGGCGAAAATGCACATACTCAAATGTGTTCACGTCACCAATGAAATAAATACAATGAAGCGTTGATTGGAGCTGGCTTGGGAGAAATCAATGATCAGTTGCAAGTGTTTGTACTGTTCCAGGCTACGATGCAACTGAGTTTTGAGTTTAAACTACGGAAAGAGATCAAATAAAGCTACTTTTGACGCGAAGTGATCATGCGGTCGCTACAACTCCGCTAAACTGTGCCCTGACAACAACCATTACTGAATCAACAATGGAAAAAAATACTTCTAATTGATTTAACGCAATCTTACCTGCAATCCCACTTGCCGAAGAAAGAACGACACATTATTCATGTCCTCTTCTCGTTTTCCGTTTGGATACACATGAAGTTCCCAGCACACAGTTGGTGCCTGTGGCACGCCGAATTGTCTACTTATGAGATTTTGACCATTTTTGAACAACTTCATTAATTTCTCAAACTGAAAAGTGGGAAAATTGAAAAATGAAACTTGATACAATGAGCATAGCGAAATCAAACCATTAAAATAAGAGTACACTTTTCTCGAATTTGTCCATAACTAAGTGAATAAAATAAGACATATTTAGATAAACCTGATCTATCTTCCACTCTAGCTTTGTAGATAAAGCAGTGACTTTCGTTGCCTGCTTGGACACAACTTCCAATTTCTTGGGTTGAACTGCTGTAGCATCATCAGCTGCAAAACAATCCATTATGAAAATCCATGGATAGAAAAGCAGATAGAACAAAAAATGAAGTTATTAACAGGAACAAGTACACAGATCAAATATATGCATCTCACATCTGAATGAAGTCACACGGATTGTCGACGGAGGAACACTGGCAGAAGTAGGTGAAGCGACTGATGGGGCGACGGCAACTTGTCCAGCAATAATGGGTAAGCGTGGTAAACTCATACCCTTCCACAGACTTCGACGCACTGTCTCAAAGAGCTCCAAAAACGTACTGAAAGCAAACGATGTGTGAGAAAGAAGCACAGGAAAATACACGGGATACAATGCGTACGAATTTACTTGATTACGCAATTTTTACCTTCCTTTGGCCTTTAGTATCTGGGAAGTAGACATCACTGTTTCGCCACATGAATTTCTCCATATTACATTACTTTCTCAAAACTACTTCCATACACCACCCCTACAGATAACCATCTACTGTGCACTCACTTTGTGGTTAATTCAGCACCAATTTTTTAATAGAGTAGTCACTCCTGCCATTTTTCCTTCTGACTGCCTCTGAACGCGAGCTATCTTACTAAAAGCAGATTGTGAACTCCTGTAAGGCGCTGAATACCAGTTTTTTCTATAGAGGACACTGCTACTCCAAAACATGAAGGAGACCGTGCCTCAACTGCATAAATGGCAGCATTGTGAAAACATGGATTACCTAACAAAATGGATGTTTCTCGAGAATAACTCTTTTGACAAAAACCTCCCCTACTTACCTGGCTACTTGGATGAGCAGCCTTCACTGGTTGTGCGAGCCCCAGCGCAATCCCCACTATTTCGGAGTTTGGCTAGTCTAGGCACTGTGGTTCTTTGGAGACCCGACGTTAGCTAGGCTAAAGTCCTCCCAGATTGCCACCACCACAGAGGCAGTCGCCCTTGTGGATCAGAGGGCCATTTGCCACCATGCGACTAGTTTGGTACCAAGACGGTGACGGATCCTAATAGTGGTTTACTCTTAGCTGAGCTTCCTCATTGAAACTCCGCACTCCTTCTCTGCTTGGAAGACCCTGTTGGGGAATGAATCCCCCGCTGTACATCACAGTCAAACTCCCAGGAACACCTAGCCACAATGAGGCGGTAAACCGTTGGGAGGAAATTCCCTTAAGCCAATGCTCAATTTTGTTAAATGCATAAATTTGAGAAATGCTCAAGTGGTAACCACTCCCCGCTTTCTTTCCTCGCATTCTCTCGAAAATACTTACAGTTCAGCGAACTATGCAAACGAAAAAAGATTTGGGTCTCAACCATTTATATATTTTCTTCGTTTTCACAGAGGCTGCACCATTGTGACATGAAAATCACGAAACGACTGGTTGAGTTGACAAATTCTAAAATCCTCACAATGAACAGGACATTCCTCAGACCACTATATTTGTTTATTGTAACCTTGTCTTCTTCACGGAATTCCCTCATACGAGGGATCTTGAACCGGATAGTCGCGAGGCTACCTGGCGCGTCCCCAGGTGGCGGATAGGAGGTTAATCGCGGACCAAAAGCGACCTTTTCTTCCCTCAGACACAAACCATTTATTTATAGAGACTACTAAGATCTCTTCGATAGCCACGTCCACCTTCCATAATATAAAATAAAGGAGGATGGGTATCTTGTACCACCGGTTCTCCTTTCCGAAATTCGACATGCCATTTCGTCGGTGGAAAATCGAACAGCACCATGTCCGGACAGGATAGAACCAGAACACCTGATGAACCCTCTGAAAGTCCTCGTAAACACAGTGGCTCGGCTACTAACACGTTACCTGTCTCAATGCAAGGTCCCTACTCAGTGGAAGACCAGCAAGACCATGTTATTGTTCAAGAAGAGTGACCTGCACGATATGGGAAACTATCGCCCTATCTGCTGCAGTCTATCGTCTACAAATTTTCATTCGAGTAATCCTAAGCAAGATTAATAGAACACTGGACGAAGGC